TTTCCCCATAAGGTTCAATGTAATTACCGTTAATCTGTTCTGGCATGGAGGACAGGGAGGTGGCTATTGCTTGGAGGGAGAGTCCCCCTCCTTATGACCATGTGTCAGGGGCGGAAAATGGCCGCGGACCACGTATCGGGCAGAAAAATGGCCGCGGACCACATGTCAGGGGCGGAAAATGGCCGCGTATCCTGTTCGTACCCCGAGGTGGAGTTTGCAAACCAAAGCAAAATTTTGCAGCCGGAGCTGGTCGTAGCCTGAAAAGTTCGTTAACAGAAGCATTCGTAACCCGAGGTTCCACTGTATTAGAAAATTAATTATTCATTGCCAGTCGATGGAGGAAAATCAGAAATGAACTTGGGTACAAGCTCACATTCAAGCCTATATTGTGGTGATTAGGGCAGTGAACAACTCTGCCTTTTGCATTAGTAGTCTGTATCCCAGGAGTCCTTTTAGGGTGATCTACTCCCTGTTGGAAGGTGACAGACAACAAGAGCTGTCTACAGGCCACTGAATTATTTGGGCAACTTTTCACTAATAACATTGCTCAAATTTCCTGAAGTTGGGACTCCATATGGGCAGAATATGAAGATATGGCAAAGACAGAATCTTGCAATCTTATCTGGATTAATTTCATTTCATTGATTCTGAGGAATTGTATTGGGTGCTGGGTAATATGAGCTTCATCATGTATGGGCTATACCCATGCTCAACCTGATTCCTTTGGGAAGGTTGGACCAAGTTCAGGGAGATTGTTAATGTCCTCCTCTTGAAGAAGCCATCTCTAGATCCAGCCATGTTGGATGCCAATTGTCCAGGGTACAATTTTCCTCTGTGGCAAAGGTTTCAGAGAATATGTTAGAACTCCAACTACAGCGTGCCTCAAGGAAGTGGGTTAATGATTTTTTTTTTCCAGTAAGGGGGGAAGAAACTTGAACTTGGCTGTTATGGTACATCTAATACAATGTGATAAACAACAACCTGCACACCAATGAAACATTTCTTTATTTTTAATCTGTTTTGCAGTACCCTCTCACTATGATCATGCTCTTCACCAGTGATCTCTACAGCCTCTTGAACTTCCTCAGTTTTGCAAGATGGCTTTTTATAGGATTGGCAGTTGCAGGGATGATCTATCTCAGATATAAATGTCCTGATATGCCTCGTCCTTTCAAGGTAACCTCAGTAATGTGACTGTTTTCCATAAATAAGTTTCTCTCAAACTTGCATCAGTCCCTATCTTTCAAAGAAGATCACTTTTAGACTTTCCTAATGAAAATATCCTCTTTTCTGGTTGCTCACTTATTTATTTATTTATTTATTTATTTATTTATTTATTTATTTATTTTATATGCTGTCTATCTCCCCCAGAGGGTGACACTGGGTAGCTCACAATTAAAATCAAACATCAAAAATGGTAAAAAATATAAATATCCACATTAAATTAGCTAAAAAGATAAAAAGACTATATACATAAAAAGACTATAAAATTCAAGATGACGGGGGCAGAATCAATCAACCCACAAGCCAATTTCAATTATGTGAGCCCCCATCAGGTGCCCAGATTTCATACTCTTCCTGAAGGCCTTGAGAGTGGGGGCACACCGTACCTCAAGTGGTAAGTTTTTCTACAAGTGAGGCCATGGCAGAAAAGGCCCTCTTCTTAGAACCTGCCAGATGGGTCCTGTGCCATGAAGGGCTTTAAAGGTAATAACCAACACCTTGAATTGGACCCGGAAGCAAACCGGCAACCGATGCAGCTCATGTAACAGAGGTATTATGTGTGGCCCCCTGGGGACATTCAAAACTTCTGTACTGCTGCCTTTTGTGCCAGTTGTAACTTCCAGATATTCTTCAAGGATAGCCCTATGCAGAGCGCATTGCAGTAATCCAACTGGGAGGTGACCAGGGCATGAGTGACTGTGCGGAGATTCTCCAAATCCAGGAAGGGACATAACTGATGCACAACATGAAGTTGTGTAAAGGCCCTCCTAGCCACAACTGCCACCTGCTCTACAAACAGGAGTCATGAGTCTAGGAGGATCCCCAGATTATGCACCGGTCTGTCTGGGGTAGTGCAACCCCATCAAGAACCATATGAATTTATCTGTTTTCTAAGAATATCTTCTGAGGCCTTGCTCAGGAATAGCCCCAAACAAATGGCATCCTTTCACCAGTCCAAGTCCAACAGCAGGCTAGATTCTTATCTTCAACAGTATCCAAACTAACCATGGTGGTAAGCAAGTTCAAGAGTTGTCAAACAGGCTTGGTGGCAAATGTAGCTAAATCCTTCAACAGCAAACTGAGGAACTCATAAGGAATAGCTCAAAACTGTCAACACTGCTTCAGCCCGTGCTGCATGTGGCAGTTGCCTGAATTGGCTCTTAGCTTCTGCTTTTAGAGATTAGGTATCACAGCTAGAAATTAAATAATTTCACTGTTGATTAAAGAACACAGTTCCCAGTTAAAGAACATATTTTGCCTAATATTACTTGGTACAATGTCTATCAAGTATCTTGATCATTGTTTTATATTGCTCTTTGATGCAGGAATTGTTTTCCCTTAATTTTATTTTAGGTTTTTTTCAGCAGTTCATTGGAATTTTATTATTAATTGTTTTTGTTGTTTGTAATAGTAATGAACACCATATCATTCTTGAAAATGGAAGTTGTTAATTACATATTGTAGATTTTTCTTTATTTTAAAATATACTGCAAGTTTTTATTAAATTTTAAAATATTTTGTACTTCTGTGAAGAAAGAAGTGTAGAATATTATAGGTACATAATGCTATCAGAAGTTGTTATTCATTTCTAAAACACTATTTAACTTGGCAGTCTTTTGCCAGATTATTTATTGATTTTGGGCAGCTGGGAAGTTAATCAATATGTAGTGAAGAGTTTTAAATGGTAGACCATATCCTAGAAATCTTGTTTCATTGTAAGATTGATTCCAATAGGCAATTTTGAAATACTGCATTCTGATTGCGACTGCTTGTCTCTTATCATTTAAAATAATGGTAGATTAGCAAAGGGACAAAGTGCTAGGAAAAAAGTTCATATAGAAGCCTTTCAAGGTACAGTATGCATAGATTTGTGAGAACATAAGAATAGTCTTACTGTATGAGGCCAAGGCATTTTGTTTTTCACAGAGCAGATGCCTTTGGGGTATTTGCAAGCAGGAGATGCATACATACCTTTCTCTCACTGGAGTTCTACCATACCTGGTATTTGGAGCTTGCTGCCTCCAGTCCAGAAATAACACAGAGTTTCAAGACTAATAGCTGTTGCCAGAACTGTTCTTCATGATTTGATGCAATTCCCTTTTTAAAAATTAATTAATTAATTAATTAATTTTATTTAACCAGTTTGTAAGGTTGCCTACCCATAAATGACTGGGGTCGACTTACAAAGTTCAGTAAAAAACAACAGTAAAAGAGAACTACACCAGGGAGGAAAAAACCGAAATCAATTATACACCAGTTAAACAATTACAAGGCAATTATACAGCAATTAGTGGTGCCACACACTGCCCAGCCCAGTCCTGTGGGAAGACCTTGGTCTGAAATGCCCTCCTGAAAGACAGCAGGGTTAAGCCATATGGATTTCAGGGGAGATGCTGTTCCAAAAGGCAGATGTAGCTACAAAGAATGCTTTCTGGGTGTCATGAGATGATGTTGCTTTATTAATGGGATCCAGAACATGCTAACTCAATCAGATCTTAAATGAACAATTGGAAAGAGATGGTCCTACAGCTACCTAGGCCCTGTGCCATGAAATATTTTACAGATGACCATCAGTACCTTGAATTGCATTCAGAAATCCACTTATAGCCAGTGCAGCTTGCAAAGTATTTGTGTTACATGAACATTCCATTCACTGGTTTAAAGAGATTCTTCTGGTTTTTAACCACATCAAAGACTTTAGTATCATCTGTGAACTTAGCCAGTTCACTGCTTACCACTGTCAAGGTAATTTGTCAACAAGTTAAAATGCATCAGTCCCAATACAAGTACTTGAGGGATTCCATTTCTTGCTTTCTTTTATTGAGAAAACTGACCACAGTATAGAGTTTGTTGTTAATTAAGTCACCACTGGGATGCAGGTTGAATAAAAGTGCGTTTAGTTTTCTTTTAATAGTCACTTACATTTGCACTGGTCTCCCTGAATATCTGAATTTTCAAAGTTGTAGAGTGCTATGTTTTAATTATCACGGAACATTAAATACTACTGTCATTTAATAGCCACAATTAGGCTAAAATTGTAATTTTTTGGACTGTTTTCCAGGTGCCACTCTTCATTCCTGCTCTATTTTCCTTCACTTGCCTCTTTATGGTTGCACTGTCACTTTATGCTGATCCGGTTAATACTGGCATTGGCTTTGCCATTACACTGACAGGTGTCCCTGCCTACTACCTCTTTATCATATGGGACAAGAAGCCAGCATGGTTTAGACGGTTTTTAGGTGAGTGAACGTTGAGCAAAGTTTATTCTTTTTTGTATTTTTATTTCTAGAAAACATAGAATAACTTTACAGCAGAGAATCTTAATTTTTCCTCCTACCCTTACTATTCTCACTGTCATAGTAAGGCATCTTCTTAATTTGATGTACTGTATACATTGTTGTGTTAGTTAAATAAGAGATTAGCTTTTAGGAATAGGATTTATCTCACACAATTTATAATTTGGAACACAATTGCATTCCCATTTCTAATCCTATTTTTCATCCAAGAGACACTGGCTCTCTAGTTGTCCTGTGACTACAGAACCAGCTGTATGTCTTTCTGTCAAATAAAATATTAGAGCTGGCTGGTGATTCCTAATGTTTGTTGAAAAAGAAGACAACCCATTTGGATAGGTATATGTTCCTGTATGTATGGGGTGGAATATTTTTCCCTGAACTCTCTTGAATATAATGTCTTCTTCCAAAAGACAAAGGGAAATTTCTTGCAATATATTAGAGATTACAGTATGACAACAACTGAATAATTATTAGGAAATGTCTCTGAATGTCAGCACTACATTATTTTACAACTGTATCTCAACAAAGCCACAATCCCTTTTCTGCCTGTTAATACAATAATTGATTTTTGAATTAATGTTTTATAACAGCGGTGTTATGCATTACTGGCCACCAAGCAGTGTGCAAATAGTTTCAACCTTCTTTGAATTCATCAGGTACAGACAGCCATTGTAGTTTAGTATCAGATCTTATGGGGTTCAAAACCCTCTATTGGGAGGTAGGCCAATGTGCTGTTATGCAGTGCATCTTGTTTTATAAACAGTAATGGCCTTGGTTGGCAAAGATTGGCAGTAAGAATATAGACAAGTTATGAGTAGTATATACTTTCATTATTCTGGACTCTCAGTTCCATGATTATACTACCAGAGAGGGGAGATTATTTCAGCATATATTCCTGTGGTTTAGATATTGCTGACCACCAGAAGGCAGTGTATGACCACTTTTGTCTCTATTGATACCTAGCAGGTACCCGCAGCCATTTTAGTAACTAATAGTTCTTAAGTGGTTCAGAACCGCTACCTACTCTTAAGTCAAGACCTCTTTTGTTTCAAATGGAAGGATATGGCATAATGGGTTTAAGTTGATGGGAGCACAGATGCCAGTTGAATATTAGAAAGAAACTTTGAAGAGCAGAGTGTCAGTACTGTAGAACCAATTTCCAAGAAAGATGGTAACTTCCTTTACCTAGATGTGTTCAGGCAGAAGCCAGCTAGTCTTCTGTCAGGGATCCTTTAATTTGCAATCCTGAAGAGGGTGAGATTTAATTTGAATCCAACAGAAGAGGGTGTTGGCTTTGAAGGCCTTATGTTTTGAATAGAAATCCCTGTGAAAATCTCAACTCCTAGCATTTCAGTTAATTTTAGGAAATATTGTCAGTTTAGACCATTAGAAGTCTCTTATACTAATTTTTGCCTGGGGGGCATTGTCAAGGTTATGATGGGATAGGAACATATCAACCATCCCTTCCTATGTATTGCAGTCCTGATGAAAACCCCAATACCTGTGATTCTTCTAAAAAGTGATTCCTTAATGTAGCTGCAATTAATTTTAATTAGCTATACTTTGACTCACCAAGTTGCTGTTTCTGCAAAAGGAAGAATCTACAGTCTGTTTGTGTAATGGGGTGTGTGTGTAGGTGCGTACATGCTAACAGGCTATTTTCAAGAATGTGAAACTGAATACTTACCGGATATCCAAAAATGGTGATTAAAAGATGGTTGGTAATTAATGTTAATATATAAAGTTACAATGGCATAGTCCTTTTTAATATTTTCAGTACCCACAATAAACTAAACTATTTCTTGCTCTCCAAAGTGTCCTCATAGCTTTATTTATTTACCTATATGTCTTTACAAGTGTTGTTTTCTTTAAGAATTGATATAAACAAAAGGAATATAAAATAAATTTGTGTGGTGGGAATCACTGTCACTTATCAAATATTATGTCTTCAGGATTCTATAGTTATTTGTCTCTGCCTCAGAAGAGCCAGTGGAGAGAGCTATTCTTTCATCAGATAGTTACATTTCCCAAGCTTTTGGATTGTAGTTTCATAAATCAGTATGGCCACAGGATGCCAGTATTGAACCATTTCATCTAGGTAAAAAGCATAATATTTTTGAGATTTTTGCTATTGGTAACAATGCAATGGATTTCTTGAGCCCTGTGAATATTATTGCTTCCTGGCAGGAGAAAATATAAATAACCATAAATGAAACAGAAAGACCCTGCAAACCCAGTTTAAATTTGGTGTACAAAATAGTTTGTTAATTAGAATGCTATGCTTCAATCTAGTGGATAATATCTATTGGCAATCTAATTGTAATTATTTTGTTCAGAAGACAACAATACTTAAAAAGACAATAGTCTGTAAAGGTCTTTTTTTCTTGGATATCAATAATCCCATATGAAGGTAGACCATAAACCTTTGTTCCTTCTTAAGGCAACAGTGGTTTTGATCCTAAGACATGTTCCTTAAATATGAATAGTCATCAATCCCTTAATTTGGCCAAAAAGGCTCCCTGATTTTCTAAAAAGAGTTTTCAGGAATCATTAAATGGTTGTAGTAAGGGAGAGGGCATAGGAAACTAGTTCAGTGGGACTTATTCTCAGATATAAAATTGCGATATAAATTAATTTATTTTAAGATTCAAGCTAACACCTTTTAGGAGTGCCAAATGAACACGTTAGGACAGAAATATGTTGAAACATCTTGGCATACTCAAATGATTGTTCTCACAAGTGTGTGCATTTAAAGATCTGCTTTTAGGGAACAGAAGGGAGCTACTGGACAGGTTGAGTAGGAGCTCCTGCCCTAAATGCCAGTAATAGCTTTTATTTTATTTTAATTTATTTTTTACATTTACATCTTATGTTTCCTATAAGGAACTCCAAGTGGGTATATGGGGCAATACTATATTTTATTCTCACAACAATCCTATGTGGTAGTTTAGGATGAGAGAAAGCAACTGGCCCAAAGTCACTCCACATCAGTTGAATCTAACAAGGATAGGTAATTGTCATTGCAATACATCTAAAGTACTGTGGATAGTAAGCAATTGCCAAGTTATTTATAGGTTATTTATTTATTTTTTTCATTTGTTAAATGTGTTACTTTGTAAAGGCGGTCTCCTTAAAAAGTTTAGTAAGATTCAAATCCTAAAACAAAATTATTAACCAGACTGTTTTTATATATGTTCAGTATATAACAAATACTCTGGGTTTGAATTAAATTGTCAGTTGCTTCATTTAAATTCTATCTATCTATCTATCTATCTATCTATCTATCTATCTATCTATCTATCTATCTATCTATCTATATCTTAGGTCATAGTTGTATTCACATTGATCTGAAAAAAGTTCTACTGATTTTATCTGAACATCTAAGTAAACTTGAATAGATTCTCCTATATTTTTCCTTCACAGACAACATGACATCAACATTGCAAATAATCTTAGAAGTTGTTCCAACAGAAGAAAATCCAAGTTTGTGATCTTCAGCTAGAAGAATCTGCTTTGTTAGTCAAGCATCCAAGTTCTTCATCGATTGAATGAAGAGTATTTTTGCCAAAAGGCTTTTTTTTAATTAACTGTTATTGGAAAACTTGGAGAAGTTAAATTGGGGCATCACTTTTAACCTGTTACTTGATGAGAACTTTAAATAGAATTGTTATGGATGTATGTGTGTACACATATATAAAAAGTTATCTGACACTGTATCAACAGTTTTGTAGGCAACTGTTTTAACTGTTGTTAAACAGTGCCCATCTTCTGTTTTGCAAATGGAGTTGATGTGATATTTCCTATATTTTAAATATATAAGAGCTCAAGTTCTTCATACTGATATTTACTAAGAACATTTGTTTTAAAAATGTTCATGATAGCTAGAAATAATATAATGGATTGTATATGAATTCTCTTTGCTGGACGTGAAGTAAGACAAGAATAAAAGAGTTGTTTGAATTAATACAAAATTATTCCATTTTTTTTAAATCACACTTTTCTGTTTCATTGAGAACACTAATGCATTAAAAACAAAAACAACAACTCTATTTTTCCCCTATCCAGTTCTGCTTAGGGCTGCTGAATTGTTTTGGCACCCCTGCTTTAGAGGAACATAGCATATGAAGAGCAGAGAGGCATTTTTCGTTTGACCAATACTTACATAACAAAAGTAATTTCTATTTGAGGTGATTTAGGCAGATTTGCTCCATTTTACTGTCTTTTTATTGCAAATCAACATAAATTCACTATTTATTTGAAGTGCTTTCAGATCAGCATTTGATCGAGGAAAAACAACCTGGTTTGTGCCAGATGTTTTGTATTAGAATTCCCATCAACCACTCTGGTAAATGAAAAGGGCTTGTAGGAGTTTTATTTCAAGAAATCTGGATGACACTCTATTGCCTATCCCAGCTTTTGTGATGCAATTACCCTGCTGACAGATGTGGGAAGACAGATTATCTTCTACTTATGTACTGTATTTATTTTAATCACTTTAAGTCTTTGTTTTTCCCACTGTGTTTCTATTTTTGAATATTGAATAGAATATTTGAAATGGAGTAGTTCCACAGTATCTTTTAACTGGTAGCCCTAAGAACTGTATATCTAGAAACATTGTGAATTGTTGGTGATACTTTAAAATCAGCTAGAGCAGATATGGGCAGCCTCTCTTTTTCTATAGAAGGTTTCATTTCCTTAAGAGTCATCTGCTGGGATCCATATTCTGGGCAGGGCTGAAGCAAGCAGTGAATAAAGCCTGGTTCAGAAAACGAGTGGGAACACCAATTGTCTCTCTAATGTACTCTTTTTTTTTTTTCTTTTCTCCTTCTCCTCTGTACTAAGAAGCAAGCTATGGGGGAAGAGAGAAATTATTCTGAGCAGATCCTTTGAAATGAAGCATAGAGCTATGAGATATGTGCACAAATGGCTTGCTATATGGAGATGAAGTTACTTTGAAATAACAACCACCTCTAACCCAGCCACAGAGCATGCCATTTCAGATCACTAATATAAAGCCAGTGCGATGCTTGAATGTAGTAGCTGTGCCAGATCTGAAAACGATGGTTTTTAGTTTTGACTCATTCTGACTGCACCAGCACCTCTTTTGGTAGTTTCTTACATCTCTGCCAGAAGATGTATCAAGGATTGTGCTACTCCAGCAGGGCTGTTAATTAATTAAAAATATATGGACATTTATGAGGATCATAAGGGAGGTTTCCACCTTTGCCCTATGTGTTTGTGTGCATGTGTATGTATAGTAAAAGCTTAATAATGCATCTTAATACAAAATTATTATTAAATATTCATTCATTGCAGCTATCTAGTGCTATTTAGTCCTAACAATATATTTTCTACCAAAGCTTTAGTTATTTAAAATTCTAGGAACCTGGAATTGTTTCCAGAATTCAAAGGACCATGCTCTTAATTATGAGCATCTGAAGCAGTCTTAGAGTACTGCGTTCCAAAGCCAATCCCTTTTTTAAAAATGGAGAGAGAGAGAGAGTTAAAAATAAATTTGCAGGGTCACAGGGCTATACTATCTTCAGTGTGGCATAGAGATAACAGCCTTATTTTTTCAACATATTAAAAGACACCTGATTTGGTGTCTTTTGGATTAAAATATTGTGCAAACCTACCATTGTTGGGAAATTAGTTTACAGCTTAGTATTTTTGTGAGCCCATCAATTGTGATTATTTAGCAAATCATTATTAAGCAAACAATGGCTTGACATGATGTGTAAATCTGGTCACTTTCACTCAGTTTTGCTGCATAATAATACCATAGTTACCTCATGATAAGAAACAGAAATAAAATGGTATCTTACCATCCTCCATTGTTGGCTATAACAATTAACCTTATTCATAGTCATAATTTCTGTCATAATCCTGAATAGCTGATACCATATTGAATTAATTGTAACATACAGATCTTGAAAGGATATTCCTCATACTATCATATTTAGGAAATCCATTTATAAATGAGATGCTATTCCATTTTTCTTGTTCCATCAAAAAGAAACTCTTGTCTTTTCCTTTCTTTGCTTTAATATATAGAATCTTGAAGTATAAACTTGAAACAGGAAATTCAAAGTAACTTTATTGATGTGGACAGCATTCTGTTCAATGTCTTCCTGTTGTTTTTTGTATTTAACAACACAGCATTAAGAAAAATTGTTCCAGGCATCACTTTTTTGTAGGATTAGTGGCCCCAAAACAGGCTCTGTGTCCTTAGAGATACTGCCTTCTTCATTAATTGTGCAGTTTTATATTCTGTGCACAGTGAATTATTTGTAAAGTAATAGTGTGACTTTTAGAAAGGCGCACAGGAGGCTTATTCTAATTAATAATTCCATCACATGAATATTTACAATCACTATAATAATACAAAACTATATTAATGAGGTACCAAAGGAGAATAATTTGCAAAGATATGTATAGCTGAATGAAAGCCAGGAGATAAACAACATTGTCTAGGATATAAATGGATAGTGATGACTATTGGCTAAAGATAAAAGTTGCAAATCTCTAACTATTGCAACACAACAGAACATGGATTACTGTGCTACAGCCTTAACAGAGTGAGGATGCAAAATATGTGATTTAAGAGGAAAGCATGGTATGATGAAGTACAGTATGTACAGCACCTGCAATGCCCTTTCTGGTTCCTTCCACCTGATCAGTTTTGGTTAGGAGAAACACATTCAGTGGGACTGCTGCCTTTTCTAAGGAGCGGTGGGGGGGGGGGGGAAGACAATTATTTGCACTCTCTCATGTGCTGTTCCTTCATTTTATATCATAGGTCACATGTACTTAGGACTAAGTAAATATAAATATAATCCTGCTATGGAAGAAGAAGCTACAATTTGTATTAACATGGACTTAGAGCCCAATCCACTAGAAATTGTTTTATGAATAAGGTGGGTAAGAAGTGGTAACGCAAAGTTGTATTCAACTATCTACTACCGATTCTCTTCTATGTACTTTGTGCTATATAGCATGTATATTGTTGAACCAAATCACCACTGGAATTACCTGCTGCTACCAAGATGAATTCTCAACAACTTAGCAACCACAATGGGGACCAGAAAATTGGTTGTTAAGCAGGGTAGTCATTAAGCAAGTCACATGATGGGACCTGATTTTATGACCATTTTTACAATGGCCATAAAGTGAATCACTGTGGTCATTAAGCAAATCACATGGTCATTAAGGAAATCTAGTTTCCCAAATGGACTTTTTTTTGCCAGAAACCGGCAAAACTCACAAATCGTGATCAGTGACTGCAGGATGCTGCAACCGGTCGTAAATGCAACCCAGTTGCCAAGTGCCTGAGTTGTGATCATGTGATGATGGGAGTGGTGTGATAGTTTGTGATGGTCACAAGTGCAAGTACAGGTCACAAAGCACTTTTTACAAGGCTGTCGTAACTTCAAACTGTCGTTAAACAAATGGTCGTTAAGCAAGGACTACCTGAAAGATGTGTTTTCTTTTGCTTACTCAGTTATAATTCAGTTACATTTGGAAAGAACTGATGCAAACTCTGCAAACTTGCTTCTTTTCAAAAACTATATAAAGCATTGGTGCAGAACTAGCACTGCTCACAGTTACATAATTACAAGTGTTAGACTGTGAATATTAGCTATTAGTATTAATGTCTAAATGGCTATTATTAATGGGATTTAAGTGGAATCTAGGACAAATATAAACCCTGTTGAGTTCAGTGGAGTTTTCTCCCAGAGGAAATACGCAATGGATTTCAGTTATAAGACAGTTATATCATATAAGGTCCTTACAGTACACGGACCTTATACAGGATGAATAAAGTATTAATCAGTTTATGTACTGATTCAAAAGGCATTTACTGAGAAATTAACCCCTTTTAATATAATGATGTATGCGTGTCTCTGTGTGTGCATGTGTATATACATAAACTGTATATTCAGCATGAATTAATACATTGCAGGAGGAAGGCCTCACTGAAGGTTATGGACCATAATCTATGATATTGGACCAAAGTGGTTTGGTAGATAGACGTTTTTTTTACTTCCTGCCTAGGGCTGAGATTGAGTGACTGGCCCAAAGCTACCTAGCCAGTCTCCATGCATAAGGGAAGATTACAATCTGGTTCTCCTTATTCTTTACTTCTAGCCCAGCACCTTAAACATTAAACCATACCAGCTGTCATATGCTATGCTTTGAAAATTACTGTGTGTAATTTAGACCTTGCACAAGCAGCCACCTCTGTGCTATTCATTAAAGCAACCCATATTTTTTTTCAAGTTTCTGAGCCAGCCTGGATGGGTGGTAGATGATATACCTGCTTTCTGGTCTCAATTCATTAAAGTTAATGTGACTTTAAAACTGTATCAGGATGGTGAAGAAGCATGAAAAAGAAGGGGCTGCTCTAATGAATAGTACAGAAATAGTATGCTTTTATGTGGTCTAAAGCAATTCTTCCTAACTTCAAAAAGCGTACAACTTTGTGCATTGCAAACTAAGCTAAAAACTAACATGTTCATTATGTATTTTGTATATGTTCATTGTGTATTTATATA